AGATCCCCCACTCATGCTACAGCACGGACTCAAACCTACTACAGAGTAACCAAGTCAGGCAACAGCACCAGCTGACCCAAAGAGAATCTGGAATTGATGATGTCACTCCACGTGTATTTTCCTCTGCTCTGGCTTGTTGATGTGTAGGTAAAGAACACGAGGAGGAGCGCAGGGCAGAAAGCCTTGAGAGATAGACAGTTGTATGTCCTAGACCCTTAGATGGCTGAGGAGTATTTTCAGGGTCATTTCCATCCCGCAGCCAAGCAGGTATCTGCTGCTGTTATGTGCTGCCATCCGGTGTCCATTAGGTAGAATGTCAAGCTGATGCCTATGTCGGGGCTTTTTATTGTTTTGGTTTTACTTTGTTTCACCTTCCATTTCTTCCACTTCACAACTCACAGTTTGTTTTCGTAAGTTATTGGAAGTATTCCACTCGCCTAAAATGCCCTGGCAATTGCCCATATCAAAAATCAGTTGATCGGATATGAATTAGTACTTCTGGCTTTGAAATTCTATGACCTTTTATCTTATTAGATATCACGTATTTTGTTTTTTCAAACTGCAAAACGTTTTCATTCCTGATCCCTAAAAGACTAGCTGAAATTCCTAACTGAATATCTTGAAGTCTGTGGGGGGACCTGAACTTTCTTGCTCATTCCACAGGCTACTGATTCCTCACTACCTAAGCAAACATGTATGAGAGAGAGAGAGAGAGAGAGAGAGAGAGAGAGAGAGAGAGAGAGAGAGAGAGACAGAGACAGAGAGAGAGAGAGAAACTTTTAAATATTCTCTCAATGCCCCGATGTTATGAGGAATGTGGGGTGTGCAGGTTTTAGCTGCCTCCCACTGGTGTAGGAACACACTTGCTCAGCAGGAGGTGGTACAGAAGACTAGGACCAGCAAGACAGGCATCTCTGCTCTCAGGAGGATAAGGACACCAAGGACAATGGCACGGGGTTTTGATCCTACTTAATGTGCTGGCTTTGTGGGAGCCTAGCCAGTTTGGATGTTCACCTTCCTAGATATGGACGGAGGGGGGAGGACCTAGGACTTACCACAGGGCAGGGAACCCGGACTGCTCTTTGGATTGGAGAGGGAGGGGGAGAGGAGTGGGGGAAGGGGAAGAAGGGTGGGAGGAGGGGGAGAAGGGTGGGAGGAGGGGGAGAAGGGTGGGAGGAGGGGGAGGGAAATGGGAGGCTGGGAGGAGGTGGAAACTTGTTTGGTTTTTTTTTTCTCCTTTTTTCAATAAAAAAATAATACTCCTTTTAAAACAGCAAAAAAAATAAATAAATAAAAATAAATAAATAAAGCTTCTCCAAGAGCATGCTCTCCTCTCCTAACTCTGCATAAAGCTTGCAGAATCGGAGAGTGCAGGCTTTCCCCTGCCCCAGAGACAGCTCATCCATCAGAATGAGTGTAGGCCTCAGGGTCAAATCCTTAAATGTCTTCTGTATGACTGTGTGCCTTTAGGAAGACACAGTTTGAGTAAACTGCAGTTTTCTCCTCAGTTGCCTTGGCTGCTCACCCATATGCAAGGGTTACTCAGGGAATTTGTGTCTTTAGGGGAGTCTTCTAGCCACTGACAAAAACCCTGGAGATGCATCTTACCTTCCTTTTTATCTTTTGCTTACTATCTTTACTTTTCTAACCTGCCCTTGGAATGGTTTGGGAATGTATGTGAGCAGGTACTTGTGACTAAGTGATTCTGATACGTGATGTATGTAGAACACCGCTGGCAAACTGTGCAGCAAGCAGGAGCCAAAGCTCCACCGTAGCTCCCATGATGGAAAGGTTTGGGAAGTAGAGAAGATGTAGCTGGGGACTGGTCAGACTGCTAATCTTCTTTATAAGAATTTGGTAAAGTCATTAGTAAGGCAGCCTAAATGGCTGACTCGTTCTCACAAACAGTTCTTTTAAAATTGGGGGAGTCAGCCAAGGCTATGTTGCTGACATTGATGATATTCTTAATCAAGTTAGCACTGCTTAAATCTTGTAAAAATACAGCATAAGGTCATCGATTCCATAGACGACAAGGTGCATTTTCAGAGAAACTGGACTTGACCTTCGTGCTCATGTGGTCTTAAGTAAGTCATCTAAATTCTCTGCACCTAGCTTTCTGCATTAGTCCATGGGAACATTAGGAGTTTCATTGTTTTGGGCAAGAGTATAAACTTTTACTAGTTGTTCAAACAATTATGTCACTGGTATTTTTAAAAGAAATCATGGGGGAGATTGAAGTGAAAGGGTCTTAAATTTATCTGCTGCATTTTTATTATTTATTTTGACAAGATTTTCAAGTTGTTGGATTCCGCTGTTGGGGCTGCTCTCCTCTTCATTGTGACACAATAAAGATGATTTTTGAGACAGACAAAACTAGGTTAGAGTAGCACCAGACAAGGGTATTACAGAGGGTCACATGGCTAAGCTTCCCAGCTCTTCTTTCTTATGCATTAGCGGTTGTCCTTCCAGCTAACCTACCAGAGATACCGGTTAAAGTCCTAAGACAGAGAGGTGACATAACTGGAATTCATGGACTTCCTGTGTAACCCGCTCCAGTTAGAAGTTTAAGGAACAGAAGAGTTTTTCCTGCAAGTTCTATAAACGATCAACATCTGAAACAGATTCAAACTAGAACTATTTCTCTAGGAACTTCTATAGATAGGAAGCAAATACGGTGTGCGAGCACCCTGCCAGAAGACAGGAACTCGACTGAGAAGCATAGCAGGTGGATTGAATATGGGTCCATCCCATCAGGAGCTTTCACACTCTCATCACACATGGTCAAAAGGACTAGATAGAGAAGATTAGCCTTGACCGGTAGCTCTAGGCTTCCTGCTCTTTCTGAAGTCATCTAATACTGTGAATTGCTCAAAGCGAAGGCTGTTACTGATTCAATTTACCTCAGTTCTGTTGGTATCTACCAAGAGAAGTGGGCAGTAATCCAGAGAGAACATGCTATATTTTTCTCTTGCTGTCTGACTTTCCATAGTTTGATGGAAACATTGACTACCCATCTGAAGACAAGTGAGTCCAACAGCATGTTATTGTCTGATGAAATTCTGAATGTGTTCCTTGCATGTCTGTTTATTCTGTTCTTTTGTAATGTATTGGTGTATCATTAAGAAAGCTTCAGGAGGCTGGAGAGATGGCTTGGCAGTTAAGAGCAGTTTCTACTATTCCAGAGGACCCAACTTTGGTTCCTAGCACCAGGGTGGTGGCTCACACTGTCCTTAACTCCAGTTCTCTGAGACCTGACACCCTCTTCTGGCTCTGTAGGCACAAGGCATGAACACATACACACAGGCAAAATTCGAAAACACATGAAATAGGAATAAATAAATACCTTTTAAAAACAGACAGTTTCAGACATGTAAGAGCAGCAACATTCTTTTTGTCAGCATTAGCCATACTAAAGAAAATGGCTTTTATAGTTACTGCTCATGATTCTAAATAGAAAATGGAAAGAAATTACACAAAATCTTATGTACATGGATACACAAAAATATGTCATAATTGCACATTTCGTATGGTTTTCTATTTATATGAGTGAAAGCTTTTCTGTAAACTTTTTTTCATCACTTTTTGTAAGAGCAATACACTACAATTAAATAAACATCAACCTAGAGAAAACAATAACAATGTAATTTAATGGTAGAAACCTGTGCATATCACTCTTTTTGGTAGTTTTGCCACCTGAGAAAGAAAACCTTCCCAACACTAATACACATACTCCAAATGCAGAAGCACTAATGTGTTTAGTTAAAGAAACAAGTAAAACTAAGAAATACAAAGGGAAGGAAAAATCTGTAATCTCACTATCTTTTTAACTATGGCTACATCGAGACTTTTTTCTTAGGCCAAAATGCTCATTGATGAGATAAATGTCCATTTAGCTCCTAGACTCTCCAGGACTCTGGGCTAGGCTCTGAAAATACCCAATAATGTTGAAATGATTTCTCTTGCCCGGGGGCTTGTATTTTAATGAAGGCAATGAAAGTGAAAAATTTTGAAGTATTTTTTTTAATTCATCATGTTACATGTCATGAATGTACTTTGAGGGAAGCAATATTTGGACTTCTGATGGATGGAATTAATAATCGGAAGGGGCTGAGCTGTGTGCAAATGGTTCTAGGTAAATTGCATAGCATAGAGCAAAGTATATATTATGGGCTACAATGAAATCTTCCCACATCAGTATTCTTAAACACAGGGGCCATTCTTCCAATGTACTCTTCTATTATGAGCAATTTTTTAAAGCAATCTCTGTTTTGTTTGTTTGTTTTTTATACTTTGAGAGCAGAATTAACATGGAATGTGTAAATCATCTTAATGGTCAGAACCTGGAAACCTGGTCCTATTTCTTTAGGGCAAAGTTAAATTCATGGGAATAAAAATGCCTAGTCAATAACTACATCAAAATTCCCTGTAAATTAATGAAAACCATGTTGCTCAATGGCACTCGAGAAGAGACAGTGTGAGAGAACTTAGTTAACGCTGGTTCTTTCAATGCTTGGCAAGAGGAGAAGGCACACCTCTGCTCCCATGTGTAATTCTCTGATGGCTGGCGAGTGTCAAAGCATTTTGATTTAAAGGACAGCACATGAGCTGGTCATGAGCTGGTCTGGCTCTCAGATTCTCAGTCGTGCTACATCAACAAAATGGCGCAGTGACGGAGCAGCCTGCAACACTTTAACTTCCGTGCTTCAGTCCTGCGAGGAGGCACAAGGGTAGAAATAAACATGGCCATTGATCAGTTCGAGGGCATTTGAGAGGATTTACAAACTCAGAAACTTTTATTTATGTGTCAAGATCTTTAAAATTCAAGAGATTACTGTGTTTATTATTATCTGAGTTTTCTTCCACTGAACTGATTTACATAAATAGAAGACTTTTAGGAAAACCCATTGAAAATAGTCTGCAACCACAACAAGCTCCTGGCATAGTTCATAAATGATCGTTTCTACTCATGACATATTTATTTATTTATTTCCCCCCTAAAGGAAAAACTGGTCTACGTCCTGGATTGTTCTTTCTGGTCCAAAGATTGAATTTTACAAAGACGCCAAGCAGCAAGCTCTCCCCAACATGGTAGGTCTCTACTTTTGTTACCATCTTTTCAGAAACAGTGTGGAACGGAAAGTGTGGTTAAATCAGCTCTCACACCAAAGTCTCTAAGCTACCTACACCCAAAAGCAGATGGAGGAAATGATGCAATAACCTCTTAATCAGACGAAGGGAAAACAGAATGTAGGGTCTGGTTTATTGAGGGCTGCATTTGGAGAAGACGCACAAATGAGATGGATGGCGAGCAGCTATATGGTAATGGGAAGGTAACATTTTAAATTAAGGCGCCATTTATAAGGACTTTATTCTTATTTATGAAATAATCACTAAATGCTGCTACTTTCCCAAATAATGTATTATATAGCGTGTTATAAAATGCATTAGTAATAAATGCTTAACGGATGAGACTGTGGGAGTCTGCTTTAAAGAATATTATAAGACGTAAATCGTATTAAACCATGTATGCACATCTTTAATACATGGATTTAAGTTGTTATCTTGCATTCTAAAAAGTGCCTCCCACATTAATAAATAATAATAAACTCTTTATAAATGGCACCTTAATAAAGGGTGTTGCCAATGAGAAAACCCTCTAAGTTAACGAAGTGATTTTTTATCTTAGTCTAACTACGGCATCCACTATATCCAGCTAACCTTTGTGAATGCACTTATGACTGCGCCTAATCACCCTAATGCAATTGCTGTTTCTTGTGGTTATTGCAAAGTGAGATTTGCGGAATTGCTCCACGGCACCTGAAGGAAGGCCCCACAGGCCACAGAGATGTGTACCAGCAGGAGCAATTTGGAGTTCCTTAAACTCAAAACCTTGCTGCCCAAACACAGCAGCAACCATGAAGAGTAAGAAAGGGCAGGCAGACTGTTTGGCAGGTGCTGATTATGAAGGACTCTTCACAAGGAACTAACCTGCCTTATCCTACTGGTTTGATACGTGATAAGGAAAGTGGTGGCCTGGCGGGAGGGAACCACAAGGAACTAATTTATATTTGGCAGGTAATAAAATAATGACAGGTTCTTTGTCTTACAGCCGCTAGTCATGTTCGCCATATAATCCTCTTTAAATAGAAAATGGGAACTCTAGCTAAGAGACGTCTTTTAAAGAAGAAAAAATTAGTAGGAACAAAGGATCACATGTGGCTTGTTCCCCATCATTTCAATCACCTTTGTCTGCAAGGGGCTGACTGATTTTTGGAGTCTCAGTAAGGTCCAATCTACAAACTAATGATGAATAAATTAAAATTATCTTTGTCCGTTGCATTTTAAATTACTTCAGAAATTTGTTTTAGGGCTTTGTTTTGCTTCTCCTTCTGGTTACAGTGAGGTTGAGATAGTATTTGAAGGAACATAAAATACCACCTAAGGCTGGGCACAAAACAACACCCACTCCCTGGCAGAGACTTTGTTTTCTTTTTGAATGAGTTCTATGGGGAAGGTAGAAAGTGGGAAGGTGCCAGCTTGCCTGGGCTTGATGCTAAGAAGATGATTCTTGTCCTGCTGAGGAAGAAGAATCCCACTGGAGCTGAGTCAGATGGAGATAATGGGATGGATCCATTCCATATCAAAGCATTTATTTCATTATTTTTAATCTCCTCATATGGGGTAGATACAATTCTCTCCGCTGTTTAATTATATAAAGGTGAAAGAAAATCCACTTTTCCATTGCAAGCAAACGTTGCAGGTTAGTTCACGAATTGAATGCCACCAATGCAACCTTCAGAGTTGTGACAAAGTGACAATGCATTTGACTTGTAGAAGAAATTCATTGACTTTGCTTTGTTTTGTTTTGTTTTGTTTTTGGCAGTCTTTATTTATTCCTTCTGGCCCCATTTCCAGTGCTCTTAGTTTCTCCCAGGCATGCATTGTCTTCAAAGCAGATTCTGGGTAGGGGTAACTGTTCTGTGGTAGAGGAAAGAGAGAATTACATATGTGTGTTTGTGCCGCATGAATTGTCTTGCTAGTCAACTTCTTGGACGCATTTCTAAGCAAGTATAAAAGGCCTGGTGGGATGGCTGCATTTACCAGCTCCAGTCTCAGGGAAATGATACAATGATTGCCAGACCTTGATTAAAGATGCTGTGGTTTTATTCTGGAAGAGGTTTGTGCTCAAGTTTCTGAATTTCTCTTACACCCCTTAACTGAGCCCTGGTGTTCACTTGCATTCTTAGGAAAAGCCTTTCCTCTACTGGGCCTGGCGAAGATGCCCTAAGAGCAGACCATGGCCTAAAGAGTTAACTGTGCTCTCAGCTCTCTGAGCCACCTTTCAGTGGTAATCCAGAGATGAGACAAAGATCGGGGTAGCTCAGAGCTGGCTAAAGGCAGACCCAGAGGACCAGACCAGTTCGCTTTGCCACTTAGTAGCTTACAGAGTTACTCAACTTCTTTCAGCTGGGAGTCCACACAAGAAGGGCAGGGTAGTTTTATCAGAAAAAAAAAAAAAAAAAAAAAAAAAAAAACGGAATGAAAGTAGCTAAGTAGAACCACAGGGTTACAACACCTCCAAACAATTCCTGATCACCTGCTCTCGCATTTGCCAATAATGTATTACATAACTGAAGGTGAATATCTGTGGTTCAGTGTATTTTCTGCTCTCTCGCAAGTCCCAGGTTCAGTTACCAGTACCCTTAATGCAATTCACAACCCTCTGTATTTCTGATTCCAGGAACGTTGATGCCCCTGGTCTTCACTGAAACCAGGCACACAAAACATGCAGTCAAAAGACTCATACACATAAATTAAAAGAAATAAGTATTTAAAATCAATTAACTATATAAACATTTTATACCATACATAATTTAGGCAGCGGTGTAGGAAAGATATTATTATACCACATTAATTTTATATGATTTGTTTCACATATTTATAGAATAGAGAATACATTTATATGTGTGTGTAATATATGTATATTCTATTCTATATGGTGGGTTCTCACTATGGAACCCTGGCTTGCCTGGACCATCTTGTTATGTAGACCAGGCTGTCTTGAACTTACAGAGAGCAATCTGCCTATGCCCTCAAATTTTTGTTATACCACCATGCTTGTCTGGCAAAATGGCACAAATGTAAGAAAATACTGTTGTGCAAGGCTTTCATGAAGAGAAAAAAAAATCTGTATCCAAAGGCAGCAAAAGATATCTCTTGAAATGAAGCATCCATTCATCTGGAACTCAGATATTCCTTCCTGAATGTCCTGAGCGTTTCTGGATTCCCTTTTCTCCCATGGGTCTTCACTACTGCTGCTTGATTCAGCATCTCACATAATGTTGGGACTGATCCGCACAGCCCACGTTTGGCAACTCTTCTTCTTACGGAAGTGTTTTCAGTTACTGTCTCTTCCCCCCACTTAGGGCTGTTATAACAGCATACCACTGGGGCACATCTCAAACAACAAATGCTAAGTTCTCATGATTTTGGAATCTGCAGAATCCAAGATAGAGGCATTGGTAGGTCTAGGATTCAGTGAGAATGCCCTTCCTGCATGGGTGCCATCTCTCTGTAATCCTACACATAGCAGGCAGAACATTAAGGCTTCTTAGCAGATCTCACTCCCAAACCCAGCTTTTAACAGCATGGCAAGGGTTTAGGATTCAATATATTAGCATGTTGATTCCACAGCAATATCCTAGTTCCACTTTTGTCCAGGAAACATTCACAGGATCACGTGGCTTTGAGTCCATGGTCCTCCCTTTAAAGGAAACAGAGGACTTTTATCCATTTCAGTGTTTTGAATCAGAAGAGCAAACAGTAACTGATCACCTATTGTCAGCATTTCATAACAGAAGGCTACTGCAACCCTCCAAACATCTAGGAGAGAAAGAAAAGAACAAAAGTCAGTCTCTACAGAGAAAGAAACAGATCCAAAGGAACAGATCCGCTGTCTTCCTGCTTCCTGTTCCTGCTTATCCAGCTCACCTCAGACCAGAATGTGGTCACTGCTGGTTGCTGCACTTATTATGGTCCTGAATACCGGCTAGAAGTTTTCTGTGTTTTCAGATGTAGGCCCACTTTATATTCCCTTATTTTTATTCTAAGTCTCATCCAAAGCATCTTACTGTATTCTCCAAATGTCTTAACAGTCTTCTTTTTTTCTTTCTGTATTTTTGTCTTTTTGAGCTCAGTTGGGAGTACTTTTTCTGTGTGTGTCTTTCAGTTCTTTATTTAAGTCTTCTCATGTGATAAACATTTTTCCTCTAATTTCAAATAGTATGAAATTTTTCACTTCTAGGAGTTTGTTTCTTTAAATTTATTCTGTCAGCTGGCGTAGCTCCTTGTTTCCTGCAGGTATTTTCCAGTCTCCATTTTAATTTTTGGAAAAACAGGAGGAATGGTTGTTTTGTGACCGATCTTGTGAGCTTAGCATCAGTGGTCCAGGGCCTCACTCCATTCCATGTGTTTCTGCTGCCTCTGATGCGTGCTTCTTGGGTTCCTGATTGTCTCATCTTTGGCTGTGTACTAACCATCGAGATGGCAAATGGGATCGTGGTGGTGGGAGGGGTGTGCCCTGTGTTTGGGATACATGTGTTCTACTTATGGGAGTGCTTTGTAGTTTCAAAACAGGTGTAAGGCCATGATGCCTTGTCTCAGACTGTGGAACTAGAGTCTCGGGTTGTGTCTTGGAAATGGGAGACCTACAGAAACACTGTAACTTCTTGGGGACAAGACTCTCCTCTGCTTCTTTAACATTTTAGCCTACTCAACACTTCCCTTCTGTGCTCTCTTGGAACCAGAGAAAAGAACAGTCTCAGCACTGATTCTTGTCTGTCCTTCCATGAAAGCTTGGCAGGCCCTTGTCCTATTACACCGTGGTGTAGAACAAACCTCAAATGTGAAATATAAACAAATGACCTCAGAGGACCATGAAGTTATGTTGCTTTGATACTCAGGTTCACTGTCTGTTTCCCACCTCACATACACAAATAAAAACTTCAGCATGACATTCCTCTCTGCCATTTCCGACTTTCAGTTCTGAAATAATTTTTAAAAGGTATTTTTTTATCCAACATTTTCAC